CACCTTGTTTCCCTCTACGTGATGTTTCCCTTTGTGAGCTCGTCTTGTCGTCTTGAACACTGCGTGGAGGCACCAAGACTCTACTTCTTCTTCTTTATTGCAGCGTCTACTGCCAACTAATATTTCTCTGCTATTTTCGCTTATTTCAGTATTCGCTGTAATGCGCACCCTTATGTGTACTCTGTTGGTGAGCATGTTTGGGGTATGGGCCGACTGACTTTAGAGGTTTAAACCTCTTGATTAATGCACGTCTAACCAAAATACTTTTATGAGAAATAAACAACACATTTCTTGATATTGTTCAACTAAAAGGAACAATCTTTGATTACCTAAACCAAAGCAAGTACTTTGGTGTTGGTCCAAACCAAGTTCTTTAGACAAACCCAAACATGACCACCGATGAACGCCATCGATCCAGAATCAAGTCTCATAACGGTCCAGAACAAACCTCTAAAAGAAAAAAAGTGCGTGTTCGATCTTTAAGGCTCTTGAGTCCTATATCTTTTATAAAGAATGTGCAGTGTTCGATCTTAAAGGCTCTTGAGTCCTATATCTTATATAAAGAATTTGGAATAAGCAGGAGATCACCAATCACCAATTCAGAAGCAACGTTTCTGTTCGAATAATCAAACAACATGACAGGAAAGACAATAAGCAGGAACCTCAATATGACGGTGGAGACTGGCACAGTTCTTCACTTAAATCACATTAGGGCAACCTTGTAAAAACTTGAGCCATAATTAATCAAAACACTTCGCAACAATTTGTTCATGTTCTTTTCTTTTATTTTTTTTATTCTTTAGGCGATGAAGCTAATTCCTGACGAATGGTCGATCGGTGTTATTTCTCAGTTCTTGTGTGGCTCAGTTCGATCAAGTCTCCACAGAAGTCGCACTAGTAAGATTCTGAGCAGCTTAGCACGCGGGGAAAACCTCAAGGCAAGTTTTGTGCCGTACATTTACCAAGAAATATGATGGCTGGATTTGCTCGTAGACATGCAAAGCATAAGAAATTTTATAGAGTGAAAAAAATCCAGAAGTAGAAAATGGCCTACATTCTGGGGAATATATTTTTTCCCGATAAAACTCTTCCCGGTGGTATGTCAACATAAATGCAGTCAGAAAGGTCTAAAATCAGAGTTCTTGAAGGCGGTCACAAAGAAAATGGATTTACGAGTACATATCAGGGGACAATATTTAGATTTATCATATAGCTGGCAGCGCCCGCAGGCAAGATGAACCGAATCTTGTTTTCTGATGGACTACCCATCTTGCCCGCGCGAGATTCTCGCGTTGATCCCGCGCGTGAAAAAAGACGCGTGGAGGGAACTTACAAAGTTCGTGGCTTTTGGAAAATGTCGGCAACTTCGTTCGTCTCGCACCATAAAAAACCCAAAAGAAAAAAAAACACGGCCAATATCCAGCCATCTTGACCTCACGCCGGCGTGGTCAATAACGCATATATTTTCACCTCACTGTTGGGTAAGAACACGCGTAAACTAAGACTAAATGACAAGCGACCACGAAGAACATGAACGCCTCAAGAACAAACTTAATGTTCATCATCTTACATGTATTTTCTTTTTGAAGTATTTGATCTCAGTTTGAATTCTGGTTTGTTAATGGATTTTGCTTTTGTTTCAGATGCGAAGTTCTCACATGATATCCCACAAAGCTAAATTTTCAGTGACGGAAGAAAAGTAATATCTGAAGAAACGCAAATTATTATTGCAAGGAAGTTTAACGTCAGCCACACTTAATCGCCGACGACGTAGATGGCTTGGCATCTGTCCAACTCAAATTTGCCTCAGTGGCATCTGGATCTACTCTAGCCTTTTTCGGGGGAGGCATTTTCACTTTGTCGATCGAACGACGAAACAACACTGGGCTTGGTAACCATTCCATTTCGAATGTTCCCGGAGTTGTCGTTGTGTGTAAACGGTCAGGAATCCGAATATCCTTACAGTGTAAACGCCTACGAATCCGAATACTCCAAAATTGATGAATCCGGAAACATTTACGAATCCGGAAAACTCTCCTCTAGTGTAAACCTAGTCTTAGTTTTTGCTTGAACGTTCGATAGAAACTGATTGACTGCATTTTGATGTTTTATTTTCAGATTATGCCAGGCATGCCGGCGGCCCTTTAATGACCCCGCTGTAGCGCGTTACCCGAATGGCGTGACAACGCATATACACTGCGCAAGAAACAAAACTGTTTGCCCCGTGACGGGTCACGTGTTCTCATCCAAAGAACGGCACCGAGACGAGTTTACTAAAGACGAAGACGTTTGAGGGTGCTAGAAATAAATCAAAATAGGAGAATTTTACGGCACTTGAAGTTTATCCATAGAAAAGATGCTGGAAAAGTGGGTGAAATGCACTGAAATATGCAGTGTAGCTAACAAAGGAGAAATGGCCATTTTAGCAAGCATCGACGAGTGATTATAATCTATTGGCACTGGGCATTCCGCATTGAGAAGCTGCCGATTTTTACTATGGTGTGTCGCCATTTGACGTTGTATATATTTCCAAAATATTATAAAGCTTTCTTACAGAGGAGTGAAAATATTTTTATGTAATTAACTGTACGTCACATACAGGAAGCCTAGCTTTCAACCTTAGGTCGTGGTGCAAATTGGTTGATACAAAGAAAATAGGGATAAAGAGAAAAAAATTATAAGAGGATGATACATGAAGCTAAGACATGGAAAAGGAAGCTGACTTCTCTGAAGCGGCGAAGACGAGGGCGAAGAATAATTAATTATGTGAGTTACGGCGATGCAAAGGAAATAGGATCCTTTATGAAATCTATTTTCCGCATGACTTGGAAAGAACTGTTTTGTGAATAATCACCAAATGTCTGTATAGATAAACAAAAACATAAAATGGTCTTAAACCATACAAACATGTAGACAAAGTTACGATATTTTCCTGATTTACTTACCTTTTTGTACTAAAGTACTCATTACTTTCGGTTTCACCAACCCTGACCTTCAAAATGAGGGCAAGTGTAATTGTTTTCTTTTTTGTTTTTATTTGTTTGTGTGTTTGTTTTTTTTTTTAATCACAAATGAATTTTCTTTGGATGTGAACAACAGATCATGTTTGTGTCAAAGGTTTCGAACTAACCCTTGTTTCAAGGGGTTCGGATGTAAGCTATTTTGATAACCAAAATTTGATGACTTGATGGGTACATGGTGTGGGCTCACAGTACGGTGGAGTAAAGATCATTGCACGATAGTTTCATGCGACAACGTGCGTTCATCAAAGAATGAAGGAAGCAGAAAGTTTGGAGAGCACGAAAGATGTTTAAGAGTTCGAGGTACAGCCGAGAGCAGCTGTAGCTTCTTGAGCTCCCTATAAGGGATTCGCATTTCGATGTAGTAAACTGCAACACGAATAACATCGTTCCGAGACCCTTTTCCCTTTGTCGGTGGTGCGGTGGGAAAAGGCCCTCGGAACGAGGTTGCGGAATGAACAAACTGTTGTGCAACAAAGCGGTATTTTCAATGTTTTTTTTTTTTTTTTAAGAGAAATTACTCCCACAATGCCTCTGCGCGTACACACGCGTTATCAGGGACTTAATGAGAATTTTAGAAACATTCCCGTTTACGAATCGGAGAACTCGATTGTACTAAGCTATGCAATGACACTGGATAGTATCTTAGGATTCGAGATCTGACTGAACCTGCGATGTTGGTAAACAAGGGGAGTCCTGTAGCCATTTCCGAGATGCTCCAAGCCTCTGCTTCAGAACGAGGCCAAGTGGGAAGACCTTTTTGCCATCCAAAATGGGTCAAATTTAACTCCAGTTCGAATTTTAATCCCTCTACACTATTTTGTTTTATCTGACATTCAAAAATTTGATAAAGATGACATGGAGTTGTCGAATCACTGATTTTGTAATGCCGCATATCTATCAATTGGTTAGAGCGCTGGACTGTTGTGTGGGAGGTCGAGGTCGATGGTTC